AAACACCTTGGACTCTCTATTGCTTTCTTATTTTAGATCCAAAGCCTGATCAGTTAACTTGTGCAATTAACACTCACAATACAAGAATAGTAGAATAACGAAGAGTATCACAACATTTCACATATTGCAATTTGTTTTGTAGCGCTGGCTTGGTCAACCAAGATGTGATAATCAGCATTAACGGACAACCAAGTGCATTCTACAGAGGACATGAGTCAGGCTGTGCAGTCAAACGAAGTTCTTTCTTTGGTGGTGCGACATGCTAATGAAGAAATCACACTAACAGTGGTTCCTGACGAAGTGGACTGATAAAGCTTTAAGGTGCTACATCTACATACCTCCAAACAATATATTATCCACAAACATGCATTACTTGAAAAGGGCATTATATTAATAGCATACATTATCATGAAGCGTCAAGGCCAATTATTCTTAAGTCTTGTTAAGATTGTATTGTTCTTCTGTATATATAATTCTGATTGAGTGTAGTGCCAGTACACTACTGTTCTAGTGTCTTATGCTCATCGAGGCATTTATTTAATCAAAAATACAGTAAAAACAGTAATATTGTGAAATAATATTACAATTTAAAATAACTGCTTTCTATGTTTATATATTTTTATAATGGACGTTATTCCAGTGATGGCCAAACTGAATTTTCAGCAGTCATTATTCCAGTCCTCAGTGTCACATGATCTTTCAGAAATCATTCTAATATGCTGATTTGGTGCTCTAGAAACAAGCACTGTGTTTTGAAAGAATTATCTTGTTGTGCATGTAAACATTAAAGCTGATCTGTCAGGTTTTAATCCACCACACGGTCAACGTACACATCGCATGCACTTACTACCTTTCAATTGTTTTCAAATATAGAGTCATTTTCACCAGTCAAACAAGTCTTTGTACCCATATGATTTTATCTAAGCCAAAAATTGTGCGTAATTGGTTATTGAATTATAAGCACATGTTGTTTTAAAGCAATGCACTTGGATGTGTTGCAACATATCCCCAAGTGCCTAGTTTTTTCAGCAGACCAACAGTCCAATCCATCAGTAAATAATACATAATGTACAAGAAACACACAAGCCACAGAACATGAAAGATGAAATTAATAAAAAGAATACTTTTAACAGTTTCTCACCAAATTGCATTTTGAATGGTGTGTGAAAAAAGCCATGGGAATTCTGCCAAAGGATGCATGTTTAATAGAGTCTATTATTGTATGTATTTTTAATTGCAAGCTGTTTCATAGCATCTGTCCTTTGACAGCTTTTTGTAGGTATTCAGTCTAAAACAAGATCTGTAACATCTCTGCAGCTGTTTTGGCACAGTCTGCAATCCAGCCCTGAAAACAAAACTTGATTTGATCTTAAACATCATTTCGTAATGGGGAGCATGTTCAGAAAGACCATATAACAGTAAAGGACAAAGACAAGTGTAGTGCATTTTGAAAATATCTGACTAATTTCCTAGACGACTATGTTGTTCGTTTAATAAAAAGATCACAATCAGATCATCATGAATATTGATGTATCAATTAAGAGTTTTACTCTTTGAAGATGACATTTATTTACAACACTGCTTCACATAAACACGTTACAAAAGAAACAAGAAGAACAGTATTTTACAAATAATAAATGGCAGATAAGGCCCATGTAAGCCCACATGCAGACAGTGTATTAAATATAACTTGTGAGCATGAGAAAGGTGAATCGGATACAACTCTTAAATCAGTAGAAAGTGCACCAGTTGCTGCTGTCGCTGGGGGTCAGGCCTCCTGTTATCAGGAGAATGAGGTCCACAAACCACCAGATGCCAAGACCTCCCAGGGTAAGCAGCTTTCCCACCGCAGTCCCAGTGTGCCCGAGACAGAACCGATCGACACCGAAACACCCCAGGAAAAATGAGTACAGTAGGGTGGTGATGAAGTAGTGTCCTGTGTATCTTAATAAATCACAAAGGAAAAGAGTTAATAGTGGGAATAGTGTCAAAGTTTATGTTTATTGTAAAGCTTGTGAATTGCTGCAGCTCTATTTACTGAAGGCCAGTCTTGAGATTAACGGCATAAAGTACAGTACATTGAATCTGGGATCCACAGTACTTCACTGCCCTCTTGTGGTATAGAAATTAAAAGTGATGTAAGGCTTTGTGTAACTGGCTTCCATCTCATGTTTTTTTTATTTTTATTCCCTATTAGCAGGGTTCCAACGTTCTTGACCATTTAATTTCCCATGACCTTTCTAGTCAATTGTGATTACTGAATAAAGATTTATAAGACCAATTCGCTAATGAATTGTTCAGACTATTTTGTGAGCCAGTTTTGTGAACATTTCTATGGCGAGCAGTCAAGATCAGCAGTAACTATTTTCCAGCTGACCATGACTAGAAAGATGCATATTTATTATAGACAATTCCATGACTAAACAAATTATATTTTTACTAACACTAAGTGCAAATAGCCCATTTTGTTGGCAAAAGCCATATACACTATCTCTGCCCACCACTGATCTGGTTGAGCCAGTTACAAAATAATGATAGTGAATTTATCTTTTGACACATCTCAAAATCTCAAATTCCTTATCAGCCATGAGAGGAGTTCATTTTAAATAATAAAAATAACAAAAATAATTGAAAAGTGGAAATAAAGTGCCTAATGGGTATTTAATAGGCCTATCATTGAAACTGGATTTGATGTCCTCACGTTGATGAGGCACACTGACCGCAGACCTGGATCTTCAAGGACACCTCTATTGATCAGCAGGTTATGGGTCAAACTTAAAATAAACCCCAATCCTACTGTGTTATAATGTACTACAACACACTGAGCTGCAAATAGCATCTACTACTATTTACAATAAAATAGTAATAGCATTATTAATTTTTTTTTTTTTAAATCACTATAGCACCTAGTGAAAAGAAAACTTTTTCTTCCACTTGTGTAAAGAATTTAACATGCACATAGCCTCTGCCAAATATGATCTATTAATTTATATTATATTTCCAGTAGTGGGAACCCTTTCACTTACTTAATGCATGGCTCATTGCCTCTGAGAAATTCCCTTGGTCCAGCACACTCTATGCCATCCAGTGCCGTGCAAAACACCTGTGTATGGTTCACATCTTTGTACGCTTGACCGCCAAACTACAAGAAAATATACGTTTTAAGTTTTTAGCTTGACTATAAACATCGTTTGGCACGCAAATTCTTAGTGCAACATATATTTCCAATAAAAATGTACTTGCCTTTACACATCCATAGCCCAGTTCCTGAAAGGCAGAGACATTTCCTCCGTGATCGACTGGATCTTGACAGAATATGAATTCCTCTGGTCTAAAAAAAGATACACGAGCACGAGATATCATATACCAGTGACGACTGGACTGTACTTCGGTGATGTTTACACGAAACAGGCCGCGTGCTTCATAAAGACATAAAGATGTTTACTCACAGGTATCGACAGAGGACGACAGGGGATGGAGGGCTGTACTCATACTGCTCCGTGTGATTTGATGTTTCTGTAGGTAACGTTATAACACTCTCCGTCACTTTTTCTTCTGGCTGTTCGCTGATCAGAACTGTTTTGCTGGTCGTTACTCTGTTTCCGGGTGGCTCGGTTGAGTTTTGCGAGTGAATCCCTTCTAGACTCTGTAAAAGCAGCACTGTGAAGAGCAGCAAGAACTGTCCGAATAATAAAATATAGTTGACTGAAATCTGCGGCATGATTTCTGAACAGCAGTTAAGCTGATCGGCTAAATAATCTTCCGGCTAATGAACGCGACTGCAGCTACTTTAGCGTGATTTTGTTAGTTACATCTGTAAATGCCAGTCGACATATTACTGGCGGTTTTATTTCATAATATGCGACTTATGTACCGTATTGTGGACGAGTATGTACCATATTATTCTGCTACCCGTAAACAAGCTAAAACTGAGCTGTACAATAGACAACACAGGCGGCGCATGGTGATGACGTTATTTTGTGTAGCGTTACGTCATTTCATGTTTATTTTCGGTGTTATTAATATCAAGAAATACGTAAATATACTATATATAAACAGTATTTTGCTATTAAAATTATGAAACATTGGTGGAATTAAAGTTCGCCGTCAGTTGTGCTGCAAATGTAGCCCATTAATGGGATAATTCTTTTGAGATCAGTTTGAGACTCTTTTTACCAGACTCTTTTCAAGGTAGACTACTTGATTTGATACTAACATTAAGTTAGTAGGTTTTTGGATTCCAATATATTTTATGGATTATAGGGCACACTTAGGCATTGGGGTTGTATACATTTTATTTAGAGTTGTAAAAATGTAGGCTAATATATGCATCATTTGAAATGTATGTAGGCCTATGTGTTATATAATTTTTAAATACATTTTAACTAAGCCCCCTACCCTGAGTGAACTTTTTGTATTATTATTCAGTAGCCTAGCAGATCTGGTTCCATCATACGGTCATGTGTGACCTCTTGTGGTGAAATGATGACCATTATAGAGATTTTGGCCACATGAAAAAGGATTGAGGTATGTAAATGTAAAATACAAGTACTTAATGTAAAATATATATTATTTATTATAAACCTAATTTTAGGTGAAAAATGTAGGCTTAACTTTTAATTGATATTCAGGAAATCGAGATTATGAGGAAATTGTTATAATAGTGATAAAAGAAGAAAAATGTTATAGGTCAACTCAAATGATATTGCTAGAACAGTTAGATATTGCCTATAGCCTAAAATATGCTTAAGTGAGATGTATGCTAGTCATATGACTACTTTCAATGATTAAAAAAAAACAAGGAGGAAAACACAGAAAAACCGTATTAAATTTATTTAATGGTTGCTCTGCAACTTCATGTATTTTACACATTTTTCACACTTTTACACAGCAGATAAAGACTAAAGAATAAATAGTATATATTAATTTTTAATCCAGATCTTCAGTTGATACATACCATAGACTTTAAGCATACCATAATGCACATCATTACAGCTGAATTTGTTGTTGTTCCTGTAGAGACATCTCTAGAGATCCCGACACGGTGTGTTTTGATCCTCATTAGGTTTTGATTTATACTCTGCTGCTGATCCAGGAGTTGTAATACCAGCATGCTCATTTGTATCAGTTTCACCATATGGTACAAAAACTGAGGTTTGTGGCATTTTTCGGCCATGCACCCACATTGGCAAAGGGTAGGGTCTGCATCGGGATCGGTGGCTAGCGCTGAAAAAGGGTGGGCCTTGAACCTGGCATGATACAGCAGAGGACGTGGCAGCAGATGTGGCCATATAACTCTTTGGAAAAGATAAGACATTTCCATATGCTGAGACAAGCACACCCTGAAAAAATCAGATCAAAACATTATTTTATTATTTTTTTCTTCAAATTAATTTTGTTGTTGTTGTTCAAATTTTTACATGCAAGTTAAAGTCAATAAAACAACATATTTTGTTTAGCAACATTTTTTATTTTTGTTTTACAATAAATAATTGTATTTCTATTTATTTTATAGTGATATTTAACTAAATTGGCTTACATCATAAATTATCAACCTACCTGAGAGGTTGTTCTGTGCTGCTGCATGCCAATAAATCTTTGTTGTGAGGATGGGACTGAAGTGGTGTAATCTTGACCCTCCCCTTCATTTGACCTTCTAGATAACCAAGGACCAGTTGTTTCAGATGCCAAAAACGGAAGTGTTCCAACATAATTAAACTGGCATAAATTTGACAAGACATGTGGCGGCACACACAGAGAATTAATTAGGCCAGGAGTGGGGATGCAATAGTGCCGAGTGAGCGAAGCCTTCTGAGAAACGTCAGTCACACCATCTGCAAACTTGTGTTGTTCAGCATGTTTTCTATCCAAGGTTAAATGTTCAGTACCCTCTTTACTATGCTTTTCTTTGCTGTTGACCCTCATGTTCCTTTCTCCTTGTATCTCATCTTTTGAAATGCCCTTGGACTCTTGCACCATTGTTGAGATTTCTGTGGAATTTTGCTCATCTTGAGAAATTGAATGCTTTCCATCTTCATTGCTTTCGTTCTCATCTCCATATCCATCAAGGTCACTCTCATTCGTATCTGTAGAATAAATATCTCATAAATGTGTGTTAGGAATAACAAGAATAATATCAATAATAAAACAGAAAATAAAAGCAAATTAATTAATATCGTAAGTATAAAAATGTATACATAAGTATAACATTGTTTACAATAATAAACAGTTTGACATTTATTATAGATTATTATAAAGTATAAATATAGATTTAGTGTAAATCCCAACCGAACACCTGTTGAAGTTGATGTAAGGACATTCGTTTCTTGAATTAAAGGATTTGATGAACTTTGGTCAAAAGACGAGTCGTCTGTGAACACATTGGCTTTTTTCAGTGCCACATCACACCTCTGATGCATCATCTGTTTCCTAATTATCGAAAAATACATATGTCAGTGGATAATAAAATGATTATTTTCAGACAGTGCTGCTCAAAAGTTCACACTGGAAATCTGAGGTTTTAAAATCTAATTTAAATAAATCTGAAAATAAATTTCTGAAAGAAAAAATACCTTTTCTCTCGTCTCCCATTTCCGGTATGTCGGAATCCTTTAGCAAATGGGTTATTATCGATTTTCAGCTGAGTTATCTGTAAAGGGTAACATATTAATGAAGATACCACATGTCTGAAAATTGTTTACAACTTTATTAGGCTAATATGTGGTTTGTGTCTTCGATGAAACATTTGAATCTGTCACCTTTTCGTTTTGGTATGCTGTCACAGCGATAAACTCTGTCTCAGGAAACACGTAGGTTTTGAATGTGCTGTAAGGAAGTTTGAGGATGTCGTTGGCTCGAACGATATGAAACCTCGGCTGATATTTGTGCATGGAGTTTAATATGGTCTGCAAAACAAAATCAAATCATTTTGCATACTCATTTCATGATTTTTTTTTTTTCAAACAATAATTAAAAGAAACATTTCTGTTCAAATTCCACAAAATTAGGCCTACTTTTAAATCTTTTTTTTTTTTTAGCACAAATTTAGAAGAAAAAAAACTTGTATGTGCTGCTCGCTAGGCTACATGCAACTTGTTTAATGTTGTAGCGCTTGTTAACTTAGGCTACTTGCTTATTGGTGACAAAAAAAAGAGAAATTATTTTGAGGAGAAATTTACACTAAAAGTCGTCCATAAATTGTGAATCGCATCTACGATATTAAATACTCACAAATCCATGTTTGTCAGATATATTGTTCGTCAGTTTGAGCTTATGAAAGGTCACAGCTTTGGACATCCATTGCTCCCCGGTAGCAGGACTGTCCGGGTGGATGTACATTCGTTTGGGCATTTCTGGATCGGCCTTTCCAGCCACCATCCAGCGAGAGTTGTGAAACTTATATCTGTAGTCATCAGCAGCGACTATATCCATCAGCAGCATGTACCTCGCCTTCCTGTCCAAGCCGCTGCAGCGCACTTTGAATGCTGGAAACATGCGCCTCAGAGAAGCAAAAGACGTTTTACTCGTTTACAAGTGTTCAAGTCAAAATACATAGTAGCCTAACGCTTAGAGAAATAAACAGCATGAACAGTAATAGCTCATTGCCGTCCATGCAAATTTTCAAAAAACTCTTTTTAAACACTCCTCGCAGAGACTGGTCTTGGTTAAATCACCTTCTTACCTTCCAGACTTTGTTATTACCATCTCCGTGCCGCTTCTGTGAAACTGCCCCCACCGTTCCTTGACTTCCAGGTGAACCACGGGGTCATCCTCAGGTGCAAGTCCAGGGTCTCTGGTCTCCACAGAGAGGTGCGCTGGAGACGCGGCGTCTTTGAGCGCCAGACGAACCGAGTTATGGAGCACGTTCGCAAGCTGTTTCGCGTATCCAACAGGAAAAAACTGGGACTGCTGTCCAAGCATCGAACTAATAGTGAGGTCAGTAGGACTGGCCGGTATAAAGTGGTGATACGCCATTCTCTCAACTTGCGCTGTTTGTGGGGTTATTTCATAACGTCATCATCAATAATCACTTCATCCTCACAGTGTAGGTAGCTAATAACTCCTCTCTGAAGTCTTCAGCTTATGTGGAATCATGCTGGTTTCAGTATGTCAGAAGTTGCAGTTTGTCAAAATGCATCTCGCCTTTTTCATCCATTTTCATGCTTTCATGGCTTTGTCCTGTTGAGTGAAGAACCCAACTGCAGAGACCGTGAAGGTTGTTTTATGGGGTCTCGTGCGCACAGATGATGAACCCTGGGGACCTTACGCCGGATCTCAGGACAGCATGGTGGTTTGTTGTCGGGACGGGTCAGTCAGGGGTTTCTGATTGGCTCCGTGGACACATCCAAACCAATTGTGCTTCGTAAGGGCGTGGTAAATCGATTTTATAAAGAATCAACTGCGACAAAGTGATTTGATACAAATGGAGCATCCGCTGTCTAGATTTTAGTGTTGCTCATGCTTGTGAATAAAGAAAAGAAAGTAGGGCAGATTGGGGCTAGTTGTCACACAAAAGTCCAATTACAGAGAATAATTTTGTGTATTCAAAAAGCTTTTTTTTTTTTTTCTTTGTGATTTCTGACATCTAAACGAAAATTCCCTTATAATATTTTTGCTAGTTGGCAGTTTAAAAATGTAAACACACAATAAAACAATACAACTTAATAAAAGAACAAATTCAGAATTTAGTCAAAAAATTAAATGTAAACAACTTATTAATTACAATTTATTTAATTACAGTACAAGCAAAATATATATATATATATATATATATATATTGGCCTAACTGATGCTCTCTTTAGGACTGTCACATTAAATTACCCCTCCCACTCACCTCCCACACGACCACCCATAATCAATCTTACATCTCTGATCTAGATGCTTGATACAAAAGCACCAAACAGCACAGCCACAATATACAGTCCAACTTGGGAAACTCTTTCCCTCACACATTCTCATAGTGAAGTTTTGAGTGGGTACCCTTAAATAAGTCCCGTCTTTTCTTGCTCCCAGACTCCGTCCCGTAATATCATGCTGTGCCATGAGTGGGAAGTGACTGAGGGTTCAGCTGATGTATGCTTTTGATTGTCTTGGCTGGATTAGTGAGTGTATTCAGTTACACGTTTTTATTGCAGAAGAGTTTTGGCTGCACATTCCGCGAAGGCTCAAAAACGCCACAGTGGACTGAGTGAGACCAGTCCAGATCAGTTGTGTAACTTTGTAATCAACACAAACTATTTTCCTTTTCTTGATGTCTACAATCACATATTGAAAGCTAAACCACTCCTACTAGTCATTTATAGATATCAAGCCTTGATGTTTTTTGAAGGATGTGGCCAAACTTTCACGGCGCCAATTTGACAGTCCATGTAATGGGGAAGCCCCATCAGACGCTCCATTTCGAGGTTTTTAATGAGGATCTATTTCTGTTTCTGCTCAAGGCATCAGCACTTAGCACAGTTTTTTTTTCTTAGTGGGGAGGCTAACTGGCGTCACTTTTGTGTTGTTTTTGTATTAGTGTACAGTATAGTGTAAAATGCCTGACAGCACATTGCTTCAGTATCAGTGCTGGGTTACATGTCCTGCCTAACATGTTCATTTAAATGCAGGTTGTCTGGTGCAATTTTTCCTGTCTCTTATCTCAAGAGATTTCTATATTGTATCATAAACAAAAATTAGCCTAGTAGTATACACTACCGTTCAACCATTTCATTTTTTAATGTTTTGAAAAGAAGTCTCTTATGCTCACCAAGGCTGCATTTATTAGATGAAAAATACATTAAAAACAGTCTATTCTATAAAAACAATTTTCTATTGTAATATATTTTAAAATGTAATTTATTCCTGTGATGGCAAATCTGAATTCTGAATTCGCAGCCACGACTTCAGGTTTCAGTGCACGATCCATCAGAAATCATTCTAATATGCTGGAAAAAAAAAAAACTTTGGAAAAATTTTGAAAACAGTTGTGGTGCCTAATATTTTTGTGGAAACCATGATATATTTTTTTCAAGATTTTTTTTTTTTTGATGAATATAAAGTTCAAAAGAATAGATTTTTTTACTTTAATATCTTTACTGTCACTTTTGATCAATTTCATTCAAACACTTGATCTATATCAATATAAAGGTGGTGAAAGCTCTCCTCACAGAGATACAGCCTAATATTTTTGTGGAAACCATTATATATTTTTTTCAATATTTTTTTTTTTTTTGATGAATATAAAGTTCAAAAGAATAGATTTTTTTACTTTAATATCTTTACTGTCACTTTTGATCAATTTCATTCAAACACTTGATCTATATCAATATAAAGGTGGTGAAAGCTCTCCTCACAGAGATACAGCTTTATTTTCGAACATTGCCTACATTCTGAAGCAGTTCAATGATTTCACGCCCTGCTTCTGTAATGGGTAAATCTGTGAATTTATGATGACGCTGTTCTATGACAGCTTTATGTCCTGTGTTCAGCTGCGCTGCCATGGTGGCTGAGAGTACAGAGAAAGATCCACACACCGGATTATGAGAAATATGCCATCTGCAGCCATCCACTACTGATGACCCAATCTTTATTGGGCAAGGAGCAACCCTGGCTGTCAATCATCCCTACTTCAAAGAGGGAGCGGGCAGAGAGCGGTGGGAGGGAGAGAGCACTGATGCCAGTCTGATATCTGTGAGAACACTAACAGGCATTGTGTGTAACTTAACACCGAGGATAAATAGTTGCTTTAAACTGCTCCAGCAGCCGGTACTGACCATTGAAGTGTGGCTGGTTGGGAAGCGGTGAGGTTTTAATGCTACATTTGTTTGTTTGTAATGTTATAGTTTCATCTAGATTTTACCATTGCATAAGCTTTGAGCTATCTTTTAAAATAATCATAAAATAAATGTTTGACAGCATGAGCAGTCTGCATTTCATTCATGCGTTTTTTTCCCCCCTAACATTCAGCTCACAAATCTGAAGAGACAACCTTGGATAGAAGGATTTCAATAAAGCATTATAACAGTAAAAAGAAGCAATTCATTTTGAACTTGAGCCGAACAATTTGCAGATGTGAAGGTGAAGGGATTCGGGTTTGTGAATATATCCGAGAGGAAAACGCAATTACTTCATGTGAGTAATTGGGGTTACTTTCCTCCAGTGAACGAGCAATGAGTGGCCTCAATGTGGCCATCTCTCAAACACCTCAGCTGTTTATTTAGAGAGGCTGTGATGAATAGTCGGCCGCTAACAGACTGGTGCGACTGGACATGTTTGGACTGTGGAGGTGGGAGGAATGTAGTTAAACAGTGGCACTGAGAAGGTGTGAGGAGAGAGAGAAGTTGAAACGAAGCACAGCATGCTGTCCAATAGATGGTACTGTTCTGGAAACAAAAACAGGACAGGCAGGATTGCCCCCACCCCATATTTTTAAATGATGCACATTCAAGATTAAGTGAACCGTAGAAATCAGCACATCGCTTCAGACAGGTTTTCTGGGAGCAGATCCAGCAGCAGATGAATGAGCACTGAGGAAATGAAAATAAATGACTGATTGTCCAGCGAGTCTGCAGTCATTAGTGTGATTCGGTTTACATCCTAATGAAGAACACTTTGTTTCATAAGAGATATATTAAATGCTATATAATAAAATAAATGCTGTTCTTTTGAACTTTCTATTTATTAAAGAGTCCTGATGAAAATATATATCATGATTCCACAAAAATGTTAAACAGCACAATTATTTTTTTCAACAGTGAAAACAGCTAATCAGCATATTAGAATAATTCATTTGACATTGAAGACTGGAGTAATAGCTGCTGAAAATGTAGCTTTGCTATGACAGGAATTAATTTATAATATATAACAATAGAAAAATAAATATTTAATAGATCAGAGAGTTCAGTCTATGAGAACACATATGTGACCATAGACCACAAAACCAGTCATAAGGGTTAAAAAAGGCATTTTAAGATTTGTATATCATCTGAAAGCTGAATAAATAAGCTTTCCATTGATGTATGGTTTGTTAGGATAGGACAATATTTTGCCGAGATACAACTATTTGAAAATCTAGAATCTGAGTGAAAAAAATAATCAAAATATTGAGAAAATCGCCTTTAAAGCTGTCCAAATTAAGTCCTTAGCCATGCATATTACTAATCAAAAATTAAGTTTTGATATATTTATGGTAAGAAATTGACCAAATATCTTTATGGAACATGATCTTTACTTAATATCCTAATGATTTTTGGCATAAAAGAAAATTTGATCATTTTGACCCATACAATGTATTTTTGGCTATTGCTAATATACCCATGCTACTTATGACTGGTTTTGTGGTCCAGGGTTACATATTTGAAGATGATTAGTTTCTGACTAAATGAAATATTCTGTCAGTAAGGATTTGAGCCTTTGAGAACCATTCTCAGCACTTTCAGGTTAATTGCTAATCTTTTTAAAGAATACTTGCATTTGAAAAAGCTAAACATTTGTCCTACTTATTTATTATAATTTTTTTTTTTATATTGTGTTCTCATGATATTCTTATACAATTGGATCTATTATTGTTACATCAATCTTTAATGGTTCAAGTTCGTATTCCCACTCTAAAGAACAAAATAAATTATTGAAAATAAATTAGAGCCAGCAAAGCCCATGGTGAACAATTTTTTATTATTATTTAATTTTTTATTTTATTATTATTTTGTGATCCATATTTTCAAACAACAAAAAAAGACTCACGACAACAAATACTGTTCTGAAGGATATTTCTGTGAATTTCTTTTGAGAAATGCTTCAACTGTTTGGCTCATTGTACGAGGCGATGAGAAAAACATCTTATCCTATTGTATTCTTATTGTACTTGACAAAGAAAGAAATCAATTTCATTGCCTCATCTGCTCTTTGGGAATCAAATACAACTTTTCCTGCACAAACATTGATCGATGTCAGAAGGTCAATGATAACTGGCAGGTTTGAATGTCCCTTCATTCAGATGAAGGACGGTCCTCAAGAACCATTGAGACTATTCTAATACTGGCTTTGCTTAGATACGGCAACCATAATCTGCCTCATATTAAGCACAAATATATAATCGCTAGAATGCTGAAATCTTTTGTATGTGTTTTTGTTTATTTATTTGATGTATGCAAATTAAGCTCTTTGCTGACCATCCATCCCAAGATGGCTTTTACACTGTGTGTAATGATAAATAAAACTGAAGTGAAATCAAAAAGATTTAATGGGAGTTACTCTGTAGCTTATCTGGGATC